CACCTCCAATACCCGGAATCCTCACCAGTGGGCGGGCCACAGGCTGGAACCTGCTGCCCAGAGTAACCAGGCAAACAGAACTCCGCATGACTTCTGAGCCTGTTCTCTGGGTGGGCTCCCTGTGCTCCCACCTGCCACCCTCCTGGCCTGCCCAGGCTGGGCCCCTGCCTCCTCATGCAGCACCGCAAACCCTTCTACACTCCTGCAGCTCCCCAAGAAGGTTTCAGCCCCCGGGGCCTGGATGGCACTGAGGGGCCAGGCAGCCAGCCCACTCCTGCCTGCACAGAGCCTCTTCCCACTGTGGGTATGAGTCAGGGAGTGGCGGCAGGGGAGGGGAGGGATGGAGTTTGATGGGGTGGTAGACCTGGGCTCTGCCCACCAGCTTCAGTACCCCACCCACCAGCCTGCCTTTGTTCATAGGTTCCTCCAACCTGTATCACCCCCCAAACCTGGAGAAAGAGGTGTTTCCGGCCCCTCCAGCAGGTACTGGCCCCCTCCCAACCCTTGATTGCACCCTGGGAGTGGGTTGGAGTAGGCAGGGCCGTCTTGCCTCCATCCTGTCCCTTCGTGGCTACCCGAAGGCAAGGTTCCTGTCCCTGTTTCCCAAAAGGGCTCTCAGACCAAGGACTATGTGCCCCATTTATATGAGACCCTGAAGACAAGGTCTGTCACTCTTACCTTTGACAGGTCCCCCAAAGCCAGGCTTATGTCCACAGGCCCCCAGGGTTTAGGACCCCCACCATCTCACACTGCCTCCCCCAGGCAGGCGGGTTGTAGCCCTGTCCTCTCAGGGCTGCCCCTCCTGGGCCCACAGGTTTCCAGATGGCACCCTGCGGCTGCTTCTTTGACCCCCGCATTTACCGAATCGAGTGGGCCACCACTGACTTCAGCCAGTCGTCCCTGTACAAGCTGGCAGCAGCGGGTGGTGGGGTGCCAGCTGGGGGCCCCACCTCACCAAGCACCTACCTCCTAGAGCCCCAGCACTACCTCAAGGCCCCGGTGCCACCCCCGCCATACCCCCATTTCCAGCCAGTGCCTGGGGGCCCCCAGTACCTTATGCCCTACTTCCCCCCTGAGGGGCCCGGGCCAGAGGCCCTGGGCTTCATGGGGGATGGGGGGGCCTCCACCTTTGTGGAGTTGCCCCCACCCCTGCTCAAAGAAGGCCTGGTGCCCCTGCCATCACCGCTGCCCTCCAAGGAAAACAAGCTGCCCCCTGTTGTTATCACACTGCCTGCTGAGGCTGCACTGCCCGCTGGGGCCTATGGCCACCTCAAGGGTCGCCTGAGCCAGTTCCACACACCTGGGGAGCCCCTAGGCTTTCCTGCTAAGGAGCTGCAGGGCAGTGGTACCGGACCTGGTCTGCTATACCCACCAGGCCCTGGGGACCCCAAGGCGGCCCAGGCAGAGGCAGGCCCGTTGGAGACGGGTGAGACCAGGTCCCCTGAGGCTGCCAAGACCTTTGTGCTGCCTGAGAAAGTGCTATTGGAAGACGCCATGAAGCTCTTCGACTGCCTGCCAGGGGGCACTGAGCCTGAGGGTTCCCTGCGCAAGGCCCCTGGGCCAGCCCTGCCTGACAGCGGGGGCGGTGGGGATGACTCCTCCAGTGACATCCGCTCACTGCATCTGCCGGACGAGTTGCTGTCCTTCGACTACAGTGTGCCTGAGATCCTGGACACCGTGTCCAACGTGGACTACTTTTTTAACTTCAAGGCGCTCGACGAGGAGCCGCCACCCTGTCCAGGGCCCTCCGCCATCACCACTGCAGCCCCTGCACTTCGGGCCGAGGCCCCCAGCAAGAGAAAGTCCAGTGCCTCAGCCACCAAAAAGGGGAGACAAGGAGGCAAGAGTAAGCAGGCCATGGGCCTGGCCAGCGCCCTGTCCCCCGGGACCCAGGCAGGACCTGGGAGTCACCCCCCATTAAAGCGGATTTGATCTCTCAGCCCAGTGTCTGCTCAGTGGCAATGGAGGGCAGTAGGCCAGGGGCGGATGCAGAGGGCTGTCGTCTCATCTGCTCCATTGTCCAGTGGGCCCTAACCCATGTGAGGAGGCCCTGCAGGACCCCAGCGCTTGCTGGGTGCCAGGATTCCAGACTGAGCCAAGGAGCCCTCGACTTGGGATTCTAAATCCCTCCCTGGAAAATTAGCCCGCAAGGAAGCAGGGCTTTTGTCACCCAGACTCCTGCACTATAAGGATTCTTCATCTCCATGTTTGGTGGAAAAGTCAAGGCTTCCCAGAGATGGGCAGGAACTTGCCTGGAGGGGTACACAGCAAACAGGGTGGCCCCCAGTTCCTTTTCTGTCCCCTTGAGGCCATAATTGGTAGAGGGAGAAGGGAGCCTTGAGGGGTTTGCTGCTAAGGGTGGGTGAGAAGCAGGAGGGGTTGCATGGTGCATGGGAAGGACCCCATGCTGATTCAACTAGACACAAGTGGGGACAGGTGCTGGATAGAGGTAAAGGCACTTGGTAGGGTGGGGGTCAGGGAGGTGGGAGGTGGTGCCCACTTGGCACACAGGTGACCCAAAATGGGCCCACCCGTGATGGGGACCAGCAGAGTGCACCTGAAACCCCGGGTGACAGCCAGAGACCAGGGTGGGCAAGTATGTCCCAGGAAGGGCATCCAGCTAAGCCTCAGACCCCAGGTTCCCCCATTGGGCCCCATGCATGGGTTCTGTATCCCAAGTGGCAGGCACAGGAGAGCCCGGAGTTTGGGTGTCCATTTCTCACACCTGCTCCTTTCCACCCTGTCTTCTCCTCCGGCCCATGGAGCTGCTCTTCCCCTTATCTGGTCCGGGCTCTCCTCAATCTTTCCAGAGGGCCCAGGGGCAGCTTCCAGCCACACCCTTCTCTGAAATGTTCAAGGGGAGCCTGAAGGGACCGACTTGTTTTCCCAGGTAACATACAAGGAATCAGGAAGCAAAGGGAGATGGCGGCCTGCCCCCCAACCTGCTCCCCTAACCCTACAGAGGCCCTGGGCTGGGTAGTGGCAGTCTGACGCTTTCTAGAATTAGAAGATGGCAGGGTGCAGGAAGGGCAGAATGGGGAGCTGAAACCTGGTACCTCTCAAGTGCCCAGCACCATGCCACAAGTGTGTGGTGCCATGGGCCTGCATGGCTCATGTCCCTGAACCCTTATTCCAAAGCTCAGCGAGATAGAGACAGCTATGCCACCTAGGCACTGGTCCCTCCATCCCAATCCTGTTTCACAGGCTGTACCAGCATCATTTACATTTGTCCCCACCTGTCTGTCCCATATCTGTTCTGCACTGGACATGGGCCTAGAGAAGTCAGGAACCCACTTGCCTTGGCTTCCTTCTAAGCCCTGAAGTAACATTTGGGGTATTTTGAAATGAAAATCAAGTGTCCTTAATGAAGGGAAGGCCCTGGTAAAGGAGGTGGTGGATGTAAGAGGATGAGCTTATTTTTCTGAAGATGACCACAGATCAAGGGACAGGAAGCTAGTGTCACCTGACAGCCTAATACATCTCTTCCAGAGAGGCTACAGAGGTGAGGGGGCCATCCAGCTCAGCCTGGGAAGGCAGGGTAACTCGTCACTGCATTGCATTTGGCACTTGGAGGTTTCAGTGACTGGATTGAGAAAGCATTGGGCAGTTTTAGATGACCATGAAATATATGTTTTAACCTAAGAGTAATCAGGAAAAGTCATGGGACCACCCAAGTTTCCATTTAGGATGAGATCGTGGCTCTATGCCACCTGGATTTATGATGAAGTGGTGACCTCCCACGGATGGATGGATGGAAAGAATATACATACACATTGTATGTATACAGGGTGGGGCAAAAGTAGGTTTACAGTTGTGAGTACACAAAACACAGTTTATTCTTGTATTATTTATTTTTAAAAAATATATTGATTTCAGAGAGAGAAAAGGAGGGAGAGAGATAGAAACATCAATGATGAGAGTTATTGATCTGTATTATTTATTAATTGTATTATTTTCCATACAAATAACTATAAACCTACTTTTGCCCCACCCTGTATATGTATACACATTATACACATGCTTACACATGCACACATGTATACACGCCCACATACATGCACACGCCACATGCATGTGCGCATACACACACGTGTGCATCTACACACGTGTGAGTGCACATGTGCACACAGACACGAACACATGTACGTGTGTTATATGTGTGCAGGCATGTATACACATGTACACCACTTTATAATGCACTCGTGTACATGTGTGTTGTTTACACATATACACGTATATATGTATTTATATTACCTATAGGTATATACACATCCACAATACAGAATGCATACGGTAAACATGCATGTTTACCTATCTACACACAGGCATATACTTGTGTGTGTACTACATGTGTATACATGTTATATGCATGTGTAACTATTACCTACACACGTGTATATATGTACACATGTGCCTACATATATGCATGTGTATACACACATGTATAAGCATGTACGCACTATGTGCATGTGTATAAATAACATATAGTAAAATACATGCTTCCAAATTTTTATTCATGTACATACCAAGCATGCATGTATGTTTGTGCATGTGTTAGAGTTTATAAACACAGATACAGAATTTCATCAATCTGTCTTCTACACACTACACCACTTTTCCCTGGGTCTTACCTTTTCTAGCAACACGTCGCTGTCTTATACTTTTTGGAGGCCTTCCTGTCACTTCACTGTGTGTCTATGCTGGTCTGTTTCACCCACTCCTATTGATTAGCGCTTGGGCCGCCCCCCTATGACTGTTACAGCTGATGGAGGTGATGTCATTCAGAGGGACTCTGACACCAGCATATTGAGGGAGGCAGAGAAGTGAAAGCAGGTGTCAGGAGACCACCACCCATGATTGATGCTCACTCCACCTGCTTGTTTTGCATACACTTTATTTTATGACAACTCAGCCTCTCCAGTGCATGCTCATTACTTGTGTCGGAAACATGCACAAGATTTTCTACACCTTTTGCACAGACTGACCCAGAATCCTCTGACCCTGTGGCCCAGTTCTGTGTGTAGCAGTTTGGGGATCATGTAGGCCAGCCATAAGGACAACAGGATGAACACCATGAGCAGGAAGGTGATGACCTCCTCCCAGGGGGTGATCAGTGGGAAGGCCCCGTGCACGTAGACGCTGAAGGTGGTGTACAGGCGACAGTAGCTGCAAGGGTGTGTGGGGAGAGGTCATGGGGCACTCTCTTCAGGGGCCTCACCTTTACCCAGAAAACACGCTGAAACTGAGATCAGGGCCCTGGGCTTGTGACCCAGGACACCAAGTTCCATTTATATCCACTTCAACTTTTATCTATTCTGAGTCTGCCTTCCTCTTGTGTATTTTGGCAGTAGTCATATTTCCCCCAACACTCCTGGGGTCCCCTCCTCTGGGGACAAAGCTCCCCTGCTCCATGCCCAGGTTCCATCACAGCGTGGAAACAGAGAGGGCAGGACTACAGCCACAGGCATCCCTGAGGCTGGCAGCCAGCAGAAGTGTAGCAGGATGGGCAGGAAGGAAGTCCCAGAAGGGACCTGGGGGATGGGAGAACTCACTGAGGACTCTACTGGAAGCAGGGTGAAGGAAGAGAAGGTAACAAGTCTCACAGGTAGTCCCCTCTCTCCTCTGGATGTCCCCACCCCTGTGCCTTTCGCCCAGGGCCATCTCAGAGCTAGTCCGTCTGGTCCAGGGTCTGAGGCCTCTAGGGAAGGCAAGGTCTCCACGTGCTTTTGGGGATGGAGTTTGTACCTCTCTTGAGGAGATAGGTGATGGGGGAGAGATGGCTCCACATACTTCCCCTCCTAGTGTGAGACACTGATGATCTAGACAAGCACACTGGATATGACTTAGGAGCTTCTCAGCCCTCATGGGTGGTAAGTTTTAATCAGCTCTGGGGTGGGGGTGGGGGAGGTCTAGTTGGTAGTGTGTGCTGATTCCCCTAGTGTAAATAATCCCACCATGGCCGATTTCAAGGCAACTGGCTTGCAGAATCCCTGAATATTTCTGAGTTGGCTCCTTCATACCACCAGACATGGCATGAGAGAGTGACTCTGGTCCCCATGGAGGGAAAGTAGGTGCCCCACACATGTATGACATGCCCAGCTGTTCCAAGAGGCCCCGGGCACAGGGTGGTTCCCCACCCCCCTCCCTGCACCGCCCCACGCCCTGCCTCTTTACTCACCTGTAGTATGGATCCACGATAGAAATGTAAAAGATATAGATTCCATTCCTTTGGTCGAAAATGACCTTGTTTTCAGTTGGGCCTCCCAAGATCTGATACGGGGCCTTTGGCCATTTCAAGGGAGTGTCACTGTTGGCATCGTGGCAGCTCACGTAGTTCTGGGGAGGAGGACAGGGGTATGCCACTGGCCCTGGAGGCTGGGGAAAGCCATGCCAGCACCACAGGCATCCTCCAACATAAGCACAGTCCCACTTGCTCACCAAGCACCCATGGTTCAGGTCAGGACCCCATGCCCGTTGGGCGAGCCAGGTCCTGATCCCTGTGGAGGCGGCTGTGGACCCGGCTCAGGCTTCACTCCTCCCTCCACCTTCCCAGTGTTTGCGCAGCATTGTGAATGTACAAGATGCAGAAGTTAGTTGTATGCTTTAAAACGGTGTGTTATGTGAATTTCACATCGGTTAAAAAAGCACAAGTAAAGCCAAAGTCACCAACAAAACAGATGACCGAACGCACACAACAGAAGGGGATGTAAAAAAAGGGGATTTGATCAGCCAAGCCCTGGCCGGGTCGCCGAGGTGGCTGGAGCATTGTCCGGTGCACCAAAAGGTTGCAGGTTCAATTCCCGATCAGGGCACATGCCTAGCTCGTGGATTTGATCCCCAGTGGGGTGGGTAGGGAAGGCAACCGATGGGTGTTTCTCTCTCACATCAATGTTTCCCTCTCTCTCACCCTTCTTCTCTCTAAAAAAAAAAAAAAAATCAATGAAAAAAATCCAACCATATTCTTGGGTGAGGATTTAAAAAAAAAAAAGGAGGCAAGAATCTGCAGACAGGAATGGGCTTGGGTGCAGGGAGCCCGTTGGTGGTGTTGCCTCACTGCATAGTGTTGGCGCTTTTGGTGTTGAGGGGCTCAGTTGATGGAAATTATTAACGTGCATCCCAAGAAGACTAAATGTGATTTCTTCCTTTTACTGACATGGTGCCCTTATGTGTCTGTTGTGTACAAACCGATGCGCGTGATAGAAATGCTCGCTGAGCAAAGCAGATGGTGAGTTTAATCACCTCCTTAGTAATGGGCGTTTGGGTGGTTCTAGGACACTATCAGCAATGCCCACAGCTCTGAACATTTGGCAATGGCCTTTGAGAGATTCCCAAAGGAGGAACAGGTGTGGCCCACAGCTCACAGTGCCAGTGTGCTCCCCTCCCCTGACACCCCTGCTGAGGGCTAAATATTGGTGCGTCCCCTGTGTCCCCCAAATTCATATGTTAAAATGTAACCCCCAAAGGGATGGTACTAGGAGGTGGGGACTTTGAGAGGTGATTAGATCATAAAGATGTGCCCTTATAAAAGGGACTCCAGAGAGCTCCCTCACCCCTTTGGCCATGTGAGGACACAGTGAGAAGAGTCAGACTCTCAGACACCAGATCTGCCAGCATCTTGATCTTGGACTTCAAGCCTCCAGGATGGGGAGAAATAAATGTCTGTTGTTTATCAGCCTCCCAGTCTCTGGTATTCTGTGATAGCAGGCCAAATGGACTGAGATAACCCCCAATTGGGTGTGATCCCTCGTCACCATCTGACTGGTGACCTGTTTTGGAAATAATCAAAGAGTAAGTACTACCTTTCGGTGCCAGACGAAGGGCTCCTTTTTGCCAACAGTCTCCATGACAGTGGTCCAGTTCTGCGGCTGGGACTTGCAGCCCGCGGTGCCCGCAGTCAGGGAGTATGTGTATGTGAACAGCCCGTTTATCTCCAGCAAGACGTACTCTGCCTCTACCTCGATAACCTCCTGGAAATTTCCTTCCCACCACCTAGGACGCACACACAGAAGTGGCTGTGGGGGGATGGCCTAGGGGGACATGGCAGCCCTGATGTACTAGGAGACCATTCTGGGGGTGGTCCCCACCCCACCCCATCCTGGCTGACACTTCATGGACGGCCAACACGTGGACACGCAGCAGAGGCAGGTGGGGACAGAACAGGGGGAAGAGGTGGAGGGGCAGCTGGCACTGGTATTGTCCATGGGGCAGACACAAAAGGCATCTCTGAGAAGGAAACAAATGAGCAGAGACAGGGAGAAACTGATGTGATGTCCTATAACCAAATAATGTAATTTGGAAAGAAATCGCTAAATTAATAACCAAGTAAACCAATAAATAACACCCTTCACACCAGTCCTCTGATATTTTTCTGATGAGCACCTGCAAACCCGCAGAAGGTGTACATTTAGAGCTGGTGATTAGGGTTGTTCTAAACCACTGTGTTCTGCTGCTCCTGCCAGCGTGGAGCTCACACCCCTTTCTGACAGGACACGTTCCTGGCCCTCACCCCAGCTCAACACACATCCCCCACAAGGCAGCTCTGAATTAGGGGGCTAGTAACTAGATCATGGACTCAGTCCTGTGTATCTGGCCCACGATTTTACCTGGGCATGGATTTGAGGCCGAACTAAGATGTGGATGTTCTAATGAACCTAATGTTTACAGGTGGAAGCCCTTCCTGCCACCCTTCAGTCAGTCAACAACCATGAGGTCAGATGATATGCAGGCACTGAGCTGAGCCACTGGTCCATATGTGCTCATTTAAATTAATTCCCATTAAATAAAATGGAAAGCTAGCTCCTCAGGTCACATTTCCAGTGCTCATTGGAACCTTGGAGCTCTTGGTGTCCCATTGGGTGGCCCAGAATTATGGAAGCTTCCACCACTGCAGAAACTTCTGGGCAGCGCTGGTCTGGGGCTACAATGGGGTCAAGGGGCTGTGGTTCCAGCCCCCTAAAGACCTGTGCTGAAGTGACCCCACTGGGATCATCAATCACCCACAAAAATGTAGAAATGACACTGAAATGTGTCCCCTCAAATTCTGATGTTGGGAGCCCTAGCCCCCAGTGTGAATGTATTCGGAGGTGGGCCCTGATCTCATAGGAAGAGGAGACTCCAGAGCTCACTGGCTCTCCGCCATATGAGGACACAGGAAGGAGCAGGCCACAGAGGGAGCCTGGTGGGAAACCAGCCCTGTGACTCCTTGGTCTTAGACTTTGGACCTCCAGGGCTGTGACACGATCATGTCTGTTGTTTAAGGCCCCCAGTGCCTGGTATGTTGTCATGGCCACCAGAACTAAGACAGTGGGCAAGGGAGGGACTGTCTGAGCTGAGAGCTAAGGAGGGAAAAGGAAGAATGGCGTTGCAGGGAGATGGCACAGCATGGGCAAAGGGCCGGTGGGGCTGGAGAGGTCCTGGGGTGTGAAGAGATGGGGTGGAGAGGGCTGTGGGGAACAGTGAGCATTATCCAAGGGCAATCAGGGGACTTGAAAGGCCAGGATGGGAACTGGGGAGCAGGGAACATAGCCCTGCTGCCACCCCACCAGCCTCACGGGGAGCTTACAGTTCCACCACAGGCTTCCATGGGTCGTCGTAGTAGACGAGGAGGGGACAGCCCAGCTTCTCATAAGGGTAGTGCACCACCAGGTCCTCGGTGGCCCTCTGCCCCTGGAAGTTGGGGTCGTAGGCTTCCCTAAGCAGAGAGGGGGCAGGGGGTGAGGTCCCACCAGGCAGCCCCAACGTCCACCCTACCCCCACACCTCCCAGGCTCAGCTGCTTCCAGGGGAGGGATGTCTGAGGTGGGGGTTCAGAGCTATGGTCGAAATGACCCTGGGATCCCTGGGATGGTTAACTTTATGGGTCCACTTGATTGTGCCACTGGATGTACGGTCAGAGATTATTCTGATGTTTCCGTGAGGGTGTTTTTTGGGGATGAAATTAACATTTAAATCAGTGGACTTTGAGTAGCATGCTCTCCCTAATGTAGGTGCAGTTGAAGGCCTTAACAGAAAAATTGTATGATCTCTCTCTCTCTGTTCTTGTCCTTCTGTCTCATTCTGTTTGTCTCTCTCTCTTTTACTCTCCCTTTCTCTCTGTTTCTCTGTCTCATCTCTTGCTGTCTGTCCCTCTGTCTCTGTCTCTCTCTAAGACACACACATCCTGTCTCTCTTTCCATGGAGACCCCTAACTCACACACTCCTTTGTGCCCCCATGAGGCCTGATTCTGCAGGTCAGCAAGCCCAATAGCGCCAGTTTCGGTGTCAGCTGTGGCCCTGGACAGCTCACCAACTTTTGGCTTGTATCCAAGCTCATATCTTCCCACAGGGCCAGCAGGGGAGGGGCTCCCCTTGCTCAGTGCCAAGAAGGGCCGAGCCCCATCCTGTGCCCATTTGGTGGCGTGAGGGACCAGCGCACTGCATAGAGGTTCACCTTGGCTTGCCACCCCCTCCTGCCTTAGCTCATGGTGTCTGGCCAACTCTGCTAGCTCAGGCGAGCAGGCGGCCGGGCTCCATGAGCCGGCAGCAGGCTGGCGAGGCTCTGTGAGGTGGGGGGGTAGTCACAGGAGGGAGGGGTGAAGGAAAATCTTTGGCTCACTTCTCGATGATGTAGGTGTAATTATCCTCAAGGGCCACAGCGTCAAGGATGCCTTTGGAACAGGCTGATATTTCTCTGCAGGCAACAAAAGGCGGTGAGAAGCGGCTGACCCCACGCAGGACTGAAGCAACAAGAACTCTTCCCTTTGACATGTGTGGCCCATTGGTTTGATATTCAAGCCCTTTCTTACCTCCTGGTTCTCCGAGAGGCTCTAGGTTTATCTTGCACCTTCCCTGCCCAGCCGAGAACTCGACCTTTCTCCGAGGAGCCCTGATGCCACGTGTTGGAGGCCAGGATCGCGACGCCGGGCGTCCTGACTTTGGAAACTATCATTTCCTTGCTCTTCTGTGTGCTCTGCCGCCTGGGCATGCATCCTTAAGCTATTTGGTTGATTTTTGCCTGACTTTGGCTTCTTAAGACTAGACTATGCTATTTGTGTTGTCTTGAGTCTCTCATTCCACCTCCACGTTTTTTATGATCCATCCAGCTAATTCTGCCTCATTCGTTTTCATTGCCATGGTAGCCCATGGTATCAAAACCTTGTACCTGGTCTATCCATCCTCCAGCCAATGGACATCTGCGTTGGCGGCTTCCAGCTGGGACTATCAAGAATCTTGCTGCAGGCCCTGGCTGGGTAGCTCAGTTAGTTAGAGCGCAGGATGCCTATGCCAAGGTTGGGGGTTTGCTCCCCGGTCAGGCACATACAAGAATCAACCAATGAATGCATAAATAAGTGAAACAGATCAATCAATCTCTCTCTCGTTCTCTCTCTAAATCAATCAATTAAAAAAAAAGAATAATGCTGCAGCCCTGGCCGGTGTGGCCCAGCTGTTCGGAGCGCTGTCCCTTATACCAAAGGGTTGCAGGTTTGATCCGGGGTCCGGGCACGTACAGAAGGCAAGGCAGCCAATCGATGTTTCTCTCTCTCTCCCCCTTCCCTTCTCTCCAAAATCAATAAGCACATCCTTGGGTGAGGACTGAAGAAGAGGAGGAAGAGGAATGCTGCAGAGGACATTCTGGAAGCTACGCCAGTGCAAACGTGCACGACTGGAAGTGCAGATTTGACGGCCTGCTTTCCAAAGCAGCAGAACCTTGTACCCGCCCACCAGCAGTTCCCCGGGCTCCCGAGGCTGCCGCAGGGGCCCCGCTGGCCAGGCTTCGCTAGTCCCGCCTGCGGGGGAAATGAAGCCCTCGGACTAATTTTCATTGTCATTTCCTCGAGAAGCGAGGTTGGCCACCTTTTCAGCACCTGTCACGTATTTATCAGCCTTTTTTTTCTTTTCTTTTTTGGAAGTGCCTTTGCCCATTTGGTTGGTTCATTTCTCTCTCTCCCTCTCTCTCTTTTATTGATTTTTAGATCGTAGAAGGGAGAGAGAGAGAAACATCAATGTAAGAGAGACACATCGATTGGTTACTTCCCACACATGCCCCAACCTGGGCCGGGATCGAGCCTGCAACTGAGGTTCATGCCTTTGTCTGCAATCGAACCCGGAACGCTTTAGTCCGCAAGCCGATCTCTAACCAGTGAGCCAAACCGGCTAGGGCAATTGGTTGATTCTTGAATGTGCCCTGACCAGGAATCAAACCCAAAATCTTGGCATATGGTGACAACGCTCTAACCAGCTGAGCTACCTGGCCAGGTCTTTCTCTCTCTCACTTTTTAAATTGATTTGTAGGAATTCTTTATAAATTCTGGATACAAGTCCTCTGTTGGTTACATATGTGGCAAATATCTTCCCACTCTCTATGGCAAAAGTTTTTAAATGTTGTGTTAGCAACCTTTCCTGCACCTATGTTCTAAATACATAATTTATTGATTCAAAAAGCTGTTTCCATTTTTCGGGAAAAAGTCCAGTTAAAGCATAACCTGTGTGTGGTTGCCTTGTGCAGGGAACGCTAAAGTCACTCCTGCTGGGTCCTGGAGCCGACTGTGAAGTTGCAGGATTCAGGAGTCCCATGGCAGCCTGACCTTGGCACTGTGGGAGTATTTACACCACAGGGTTTGGCAGTGCTGCAAATTAGGGCTCCCTCTCTACCCAGACCCTGCCTGAAGGGCAAAAGGCTGGTAATTTAGCCAATCTTAAAACTGTTTTTTTCTTGGATTCTCATGGCTTCATTCTCTGGGGTAATGATGGATGCTGAAGGCAAGGTTACCAAATTATTCAGCAAGCAATTAAAGCAAAAAAGCTAGCATGATTTTAATCAAAATGAGGAATTAAGGGATTGAAAGGAAGAAATAGGATGAGCGAAATGATTCAGAAGGAGGGAAGAAATGCGAACAATGCGAACAATGTGAACAATGTGAATATGGCCGAGTCAGTGACCGAGGGAGGGCCACTGCACAAGAAACTCAAACTTAACCTAATAGTATAAAGTCCTGACTTGTTTATTATGGAAATGGTGAACAGAAACCAAACACAGAATAGCATCACCCAACTTCAGTAATTGAGAAGCGATGGTGACCAAACTCGCCCCATCCCTTCACCCACCCCAATATCATCAACACACTTACTTCTGAACGACAATCTTTTTCTTCAGGTCACAACCAACTGAAACGAGTGCCGTCTGGAGAAAGAGAGAGACAAGGTGCCAACAGGGTTAGTGAGGGCCACCAATAGCCCAGCTACACTGAAGATCCAGTCCGGACACACTGGCACCCAGGGGGGACTGCAAACCATGCACCTAGATCCTGAAGAGGTGACCCAGGCACCCGGGACTCACTGGCTGCGACCAGCCCCACATAGCTCAGGCCCTAGGTGCCTGCCGAGCACTGGAGCACAGCTGAGGTCCCCCCACTGCTGACCTACCTTAGTGATTTCACAGAGACCAGTACTCAATTTATAAACCCAGCACAATGCTTGGCATACAGAGTGAAAGGGAAGGAAGGGAGGAAGGGAGGGAGGGAGGGAGGGAGGGAGGGAGGGAGGAAGGAAGGAAGGGAGGAAGGAAGGAGTATACTATTTAGAAATACATAGGTAGGGAGAACAATTAGAAGATGAAAGCAGCTGCCTCCAGAAGGGAACATAACAGGAGGGAGAGCAGTCAGGGGAAATGGCTGTTCTTTCAAACCTGTGCAAA